CAAGTTCTCCCACTTAAAAAGATGAGATGCCTGTAATTTTCATCATAGGTACACTTCAACTATGAGAGACAGAATGGGGGGGAAAGAATCCAGGAAATCACATTGTAGGATTTTTAATGAATTAATTGGTAAAATAAGTATTTGGTCACCTACAAACAAGCACCAGGCTGGGAAGACTGAATCTGCAATAGGTAAGCAGCTTGGTGTGAAGAAATCAAATGTGGGAGCAATTATTAGAAAATGGAAGACATACAAGACCACTGATAGTCTCCCTCGATCTGGGGCTCCACGCAAGATCTCACCCCGTGGGGTCAAAATGATCACAAGAACGGTGAAGGAGAGTCTAAATCTAGATCCATGAACAATACATTTGTTCATTTCTTTGTTTATCACAGATGGTCAGACAGTGCTCTCAAACCTCTATTTTAACATTACATCTAGCGGGTATAGTAATCTATCAAATATTCATCAAGGCCGACGCCCATGGGTATTACTCTCACTAGATCTACTGCTATTAAGACTGATTTTTAACTCTACATGGTTCCACTGTTCAACTTCCGACACAAACACAAACAGTCCTCTGATTTGGCCTTTAATTATTTGATCAAAATGATTTTGTGTGTATAAAAACATCTGGTTTGTCTTTGGGCCTCACACCACACAATTTTGCAACAAAGGTGATTTAAGAAGCAGCCTTACACAATGTGGTTTTTACTTTGCTAACCTTTTTCGTTAGGCATACTTGTATCCTTTTAATCATGTTAACCGTGCAGTAAATTAAAACATTATTCCTGCTTTTATGCTCTGCTATTAAAGGTGCAAATGTTTTCTTCAGCTGGCTTTTCCTGACTCTGCTGCCTCACCTCGTGTTTCTTATTGAGCACTCTACTGACTCTCCAGACAAGCTTCTAGAAGATGCCCTAATCTAAATTGGATGGATTGTAATTTTATGTAATGTCATATTTAAGGTGACTTTTTTTTTTTTTTTTTTTTTTTTCTCTTCCCCAGACCACTCTTCAGAACCTGTCTGAGGACATTCTGGGTGTGATGGACAATAAGAACCCCTCCATTAAGCAGCAGGCCGCTCTGTTTCTGGCCCGCTCCTTCAGACACTGCACACAGGCCACGCTGCCCAAGAGTGTCCTCAAACCACTCTGTGCTGCTCTCACCAAGGTACTCGTCTGCTGGCTGGAAATGTCTCAACAGTTCACTACCTTTTCCTATTGGTAATGCTGTACATGTCATTTCAAATGCCATCTTTAAAAAGAATACCTGTGCTTTTCTCTCTGACTGTCTCAGCAAGTGAATGACTCTGCTCTAGAGGTGCGTGACGCCGCCTTCGACGCTTTGGGGACGGCCATGAAAGTGGTGGGAGAGAAAGCTGTAAACCCTTTCCTGGCTGATTTGGATAAACTCAAACTAGACAAGGTAAGGACCACTAGAAGACGGTTAAATAAATTCAAACAAGGATAAAGCTCCCATTTTAATTGTAGTGAACTGCTTACCACTGTCCTTCTTATTCCATATGTGAACAGATAAAGGAGTCTGCTGATAAAGTGGAGCTCCCTGGAGCAAAGAAGGGTGCAGGAGGAGGAAAAGGGGGGGAAAAGAAGGCAGCAGCTAAAGCTCCTCCCCCTGCTGAAGCTCCACCTAAATCCTCTGCCCCACCCAAGAAGACCCAAACTGGTGCTGCCAGCAAGGTATGCTCAGGGTGATGCACATATAGAAAACTAAAATCAATCGAGAAACAACTTTGTCCCCTGGTTCTACCCAATGTTGCTGTTATGGACATCATGACCCGATAACTTGGTCGCATTAAGGGTCTACAGTTGTACTAGAAGTGTTCCGTATCTCTTTTCTGCAGTCGTCAGCAGGCCCATCGAAGAAGGCCAAACCAACCTCTGTAGTTGGTGGAAAAACCAAGAAGAACCCCGAGAGTAAAGAGTTCACCGAGAGCGAACTCTCGGTAAGTCTGTGTGCATGCCTTTTCCTTTGCTTTGCTGCTGAAGCTTTTGTCACAGCCCGGGCCCCCGCAGTTCCTTAAAAGTCTTAAAACTTTTTAAGTGCAGTTCTTGATACTTAAGTTTTAAAAATGTCTTCGGAGTGTATGGAAGTGTAGACGGGTCCGTATTGTTCGGTACCACTCAGAATCTGAATTCCTAGATCATTTGAAATATAAATCAGTGTTGTGGTCTTTTAGAATCTAGGTGTGAAACTACAACCACATCAAGGTTTGTGGTTCAGTTTTAGATTTGAGGGTTTCATTTAGTTTGTCAAAGTAAAGCACAGGTGGAATTGTTAATGACGATGCTGGCCGCGTTCTTGTTAAGTCACAGGGCTCTGGTATTTGTGCGTGCTCGCTCACTGACATGGCCTACTGGGACACTAATGGAATGGAGCCATTGTTGGTTATTTACAGCTGTGTGCCTCTGCTGTTTTTGACAAGTCAATGCCTGCATTGAAAAGGGTCTATTATGGTGAGCACCAGGGTGGCTGGGGGTCAGAGGTTGAGCGTGTCCTTCAGTCTAAAGATTGGCGGTTTGATCCCCGGCTCCTCCAGTCCTAGTCAATTTTCTTTACTCCCGCTCCTGTAGGCTGTGCCTCCAGTGTGTGAATGTTAGTCTGATCGGCAGGTGTGTGAATGATGACATGTAGTGTTGAAGTGCTTTGAGTGGTTGTAGAACTAGGAAGGAGACTAAATTACCATTTAGCTCCAACTTTAAGCTTTATCAGTACATTGTTGTTGGACGTTCAAATGGTGTGTGTGTGTGTGTGTGTGTGTGTGTGTGTGTGTGTGTGTGTGTG